CACTCTGCATATCTGAAATTAACATTTAAATTAAGTTAAAGTGCAAGTTAAATTAAGTTTAAATTGGAGTCAGGGATTATGATTGTTAAAGCGGGAGAAAATTGCAGGTGTTTGATTTTGAGGATTTACAGATAAGAGCCCCTGCTCTAAATTTTTATTTCCAAATTGTGTGTACAAATATCCATATTTATTAAGATGTACACAGAAAGTAAAGATAAATTATATAGACTGTGGCTGAGTGGGAAATTTCCTTCAATATACCTTTATGGGGAAAAGGCAGGGAAAAGTTAAACATATTTTATATACCTTTATTTTATTTTTTCACTTGTCCTAAATGTTGATTTTTATTGTATATTACACTGTTCATCTAAAATATGTCCTGCTCACTTATAAAGCCCAGTGAGATATTCCTGATATTATCCTATTTTAGCTTCACAACCACTCTTTAAAGTAGAGTGAGGTGGAAGATAAAGACCTCCAGTCCCTCCAATGAACATTACAAGGAAGCAAACTTTGGCAGCTCTTTTCCTCTAGTTCAAACTCAATTTTTTTTTTCCTACCTAGGCAGGGTAATCTTGCAGAAAAAGCCATCTTAACAATTAACTTAGTATTAATAATTGCTTTGCATACAAGGAAGCAAGGCAGAAGGAAAAAGACCAGAACCCCATGTTAAAATCACATTTCCAATATTGTCATTTTTCTAAATCAGCAAATTTTTAAAAATGACAATGAAGACCTCTCTTCCTGTAATACCAAAAATCCTCTCTTCCTTTATGCATACACAGATGCAGAAATGTCATCCTTAAAGAGGAAAAGAAGAGGAAAGTAGTAGAGAATTGGAATTATTTATCTTGTTTCACCCCTAGATTTTTTATTTTATTTATTAAATTTTTATATCACCCATCTCCGTTACAAGATGTCTCTGGGAGGCTTATCATCTGGATTTACAGAATCTTTAGGTCAGCTGTGCCATTTCGCCTGCCCTTTGGAATTGCCAATATTATTAATGGGAAACTCTTCCCCAACTCTACCAACATACATACCAACACACACACACAAACTCTTTGCAGAAAGAAGCAAGCTGCAGCCAAAATTGGGCCTTCCAATCTAGGCAAAAGCTCTGCTCTCTTATACCAATCAACCAACCAACTATCCTCCTGTCTAATTTTGGAAAGTTTGTTGCTTAGAATTAAATAGTTGCAGCACTAATCCATTTTATTGCATTATAGCAGTTCACTTGCTGGAAATTGCCTTGAAAAAAATATCACCTTCATATTGCACTGTACATTGTTCTCATTGTTGGTTGTTGTTGTTTTTTTAAATTAATACCTTGTCATTGTTTCAGTAGGTGTTAAAAATGTTACTGACATCTTAGAGCCAATAATTGCCCTTTGCTTGATAATTGTATTTCTTTGTTTATATACACAAATGCACACATGCACACACACACACACACACAAGTGCACAAATGTGCATGTGAATGCACACGTGCACACTCACACACACACACACACACACAAACCAAGATCTATACACACCTTCCTACTGCTTCTCAAACTTCCTAATTTTCACCCAGGAAATGGGTGTTAACTAACTTCAATTTATAGTGGATGACAATCACATCTCATTGAGAAATGATACTTTGTGATCTGCAGTAAAACAGTAATAAAAGTAATGACACCCGTTATTATGGAACTTCCCATGCGCCACCAACATTTAAGATTTGTGTGGCAGTGTTTATAATGACTCTTATTTTAGCATTTTAATGGGTTTCCTTTGAGATGAGTTTGATTCTATTATAATCAAAGCATGTAACTTACTTAGTGATTGTTTCCACCACCACCACCCTCAAATTATTTGCCTTATTAGCTTCTGGTGAGCATAATACAAACTGTCATAATCGTTACATATCTTGCAAACTTTATACATTCAGATTTAAGGGAATTTGGTGTGTCGCAGCTTCACAGGAATGACAGGAGATGAATGGAGCACTTTTATACTTGCTTACTCAAAAGGCAATCTGGCTATTTTGAATAGGACTTATTCCCACACAGAAGGTTGCAAATGCATTGGAAATACGTTTATGATACAATCTAACCCAAATTAGTTAGAATTAAAGGTCTGTTACCTTCACTGGGCTAAAGTAAGGTATCTCATTTCCATCAGCAACTATACACTGGCGACCTACATCTATCGCTTGAATGTTTTTTGGTGTTTTTGACAGGTAGGAAATAGATTTTGGGAGTGCGGGGAAATATAGCAATACCTCCAAACGATATTTTCTTTTTCAATATATGGACCTTTGGCCCATTAGATCTGAATAGGTCTGAGGATTCCCTTTTTCATGTTAGAGTAGAGAGGATTTTCTTGGAGAAGATGATTCTAAAGAGGTGACGATGAAGCCACATGAGTTGTTGTTGTGCTAATTAGGTCAAGAAGAGAAGGAAGGAGTGAGAGAGACAGAAAGAGAGATTTGAGCTATGCAAACCGACACTTAGGTGCTTTCGCTACCTGCTACACACAGCAGAAAGATTTTGCTGATTCCCAAATAAGTCTCAATGGGTCAACTAGAATAGGTTCCCCGGCCATATTGTGAAGGGAAATAGAAGAAGGAGAATACAGTGAAAGATACTCACCACTGAATAAACAGACTTTCTTGGAAAGATGCCATTGACCTCACCCCTTTCCTAAGAGGTCTGTAGGGGGTGTGCATAAGCGCACCAAGGTGCCTACCGTCCCTGTCCTATTGTTTCTTTTCTTTTTCTTACATGTACTCATTTCTTGTATTCGTAACTATGTTTATCCTTATACCTATTATCTTGTAAGCGATTGACAAATCAAATAAATAAATCAAATCAAATAAATAAAATGTTCATGCTCCTTCTCTCCTTGTTTCCTTTTTAATTTCCTCTCCTTCTCCCTCTTTTTCTCTATACAGAAACCAGGGATGGACGTTGCTGATGCTTACGTGACCTTCGTTCGCCATTCTCAGGACATTCTGCGTGATAAGGTCAATGAGGAGATGTATATAGAAAGGTTATTTGATGTAAGTAAATGCCCCCTCCAGCTTGGAGACCCAAGAGGGAGAGCTGCAAAATGTGACAAAATGAGACAGGAGGATAAGTCACATTTTGAGAGAAATGATTAATAATAGTATTCTCTTTTGTTGTTGTTGTTGTTGTTGTTGTTGTTGTTGTTTTCTCTTTATTTTTGAAGGAAATTTCTGTTTTTTTTTTCCTTTTTTTTCTGAATGATACTCAACCTATCTGCTACTTGTCTGCTCTAATGCCTTACTCCAAGCCACTTAGACTTACTTTCCCTCTGCTTAGATTTTAGGATAAGAGCACCTTAAATCAATGCTTATCACTATGACGTAAAAACGTATCGGCCTCAAAGTCTTGTTTCCCAACTGGGGAGAGAAGGTGAACACTCAGGAAAAGTGCATTTGTAAATGGATTGCAAGTAAAACTTTTTGCTGAAGGACCAGCAACTTTAATCATGATTTGACCCATTTTTTCAAAAATTAAAAATGAACATACATTATTATTAGTAGTAGTAGTAACAGTAGTAGTAGTAATATTCTTATTAATAGAGACAATTGTGATTTTGGATATAGTTATATGGCTTTTGATTAAAAAATTAGTTTGAAAATATTGGAATGTTTCTGTATCCATTTCCCATTCCTAATAAATAAGGTTAAGGTTGAGGTCGGATGAAATTCCAGCTATGAAAGAGGATGTAGCACCCAATTATTTTAAAGAATTAATTACAATTTTATTTGAATGTCATGCACTTCACAGTTTCTTCGCCTTTCTGATGCTTTTTTTCCCTCTAGAATACATTTTTTTTTGTCCTGACAGTAATTGTATAGCCTAGCATTCCAACTTACAGCAGGTGCTTAATATTCTTGCTCCGGTCACTTGTTAGGAATGCATGTTTCTTTGTGTATGTGTTTGTGCAATTGTACAACAGCTGCCTTTGTCTTTGCTATCCATGATCTAAGTTTTCTGCCCTCCCCTGTGTTCTGGTATCCCAATCTGAACACCTTCAGATTCTCTGCAGGTTTGTTTTACTTGTTTTCTTGCTTACATTGGATTGAAAAGCTGTTTGTCTGCTGTGTTCACCTTCCCCAAATTTTCCAAATTCCTCTTATGATTGATTCTCATCTTTATTCCCATTTTCCTTCTCACTGAAGCCTCTTCTAGTTGCATAATTCTCTTTGTTCAGTCCTCCTTTCTCCCCGCAAGATTAAAATGGAACTTATCTCCCATGTCAAATGTTTTATCACATTATATCAAGTGGCATGAATTGGAGTCAAATAATCTTCCTGTGTATATCTACTAGCATGACCCATATCCACTGAGAATGCCTCATTCATGCATAAAGTTCTCCAGAGATTCCTTTCCTCTTAAGAGAGTTTAAATGTGAGACACAAATCACCTTTCCACTTGAGGCAGTCTTTTTTTCTCTCGGTTGCAGACTTGCTAGTCCTCTCCCCATCGCTGTAAAAATTCTCCAGTTAGCAATACATTTTCAGGGATTGTTCTTTTCAGGAGTCACCTTTGCACTGAACATTTTCCAGTTTGTATTTCAGCCAATTGCCCTGACTCAAACGGAATAAGTATCTGAAATATTTCGGTTCAATCACATCACAATCATATCAGGGTTGATATTAATAAGTGCCTTGGGTACTGCTTAAAGAGGAAAAGAAAGGCTATTTAATAAATAAATGTGCTTTTATCTTTTGGCAGAACAGAAACTGTACTATGAAAGGTAACTGAGGCACATCTGCAAACCATACAGAGCCCATAGGAAGACAAGGGTATACGTGTGTCCCTTTTGAGAAATATTTCCAAAAAGTGGTCAACAGCAATAGCAATAGCACTTAGACTTATATACCACATTACAGCCCTCTTTAAACCGTTTACAGAATCAGCGCATTGCCCCCAACAATCTGGGTCCTCATTTTACCGACCTTGGAAGGATGGAAAGCTGAGCCTGGTGAGATTCTAACTGCCAAATTGCAAGCAGCCGGCAGTCAGCAGAAGTAGTCTGCAGTACTGCACTCTAACCACTGCACCACTGTGGCTCATAAAGCATAGAAAGGGAACCTGTGGCTCTTGAAATGCTTTAGGGGTGTCTACAGAGAGGGAGTCAAATAAAGTCAAAATGGAAGGTCCAACCATGCAATCAAAGCCCCAACCTTTTTTTCATACATTGTAAAAAAAAAAAAAAGGAAGGAAGGAGTTTTGATCACATGGTTGGGATGACCATCTTGATGTTTTTGTTCTCATCCTGTGAACATATCTGAATGTTGTTGAATGAAGACTCCCAACTGCCTCATTATGGCAATGGTGGAGAATCACCGAGAGCTTTATTTGAAGCTCCACTGTAAGGGCTTGATTGTACTACTAAAAATAAATGCTTATAATATTCTTGATGTTCCCTTTTGGGAATAAAAACCTTACCCATTCAGGTCCTTGCTTTTTGTAAAATCCAAAAACACTGATTATATACACAAGTCTTCATTAGAGAGGGACCATTTTCCTGAAAAAATGATGAAGTCTTTTTGCCCCAAACCCTTAGTTTTTAATTTGTACACACCAGTGGTAGGATTCAATTTTTTTTACTACTGGTTCTGTGGGCATGGCTTGGTGGGCGTGGCAAGGGAAGGATACTGTAAAATCTCCAGTCAGAGGTGTTATTTGCCAGTTTTCCGAACTACTCAAAATTTCCGCTACCGGTTCTCCAGAACTGGTCAGAACCTGCTGAATACCACCTCTGGTACACACCGTGGTGATGTCTGGTCTGCAGAAATATAGTAAATACAATAATTCCTAGTGTCTCATCATTTCACAGTTGCCATCTTGTTTGAGAAAGCACAGCTAATCGTTACATTCTTTTTATCATGGTAAACTTCATATGGATTTTGGTTGTTGCTATTTGAGCTGATGAAGAATTTTAACCTTCAGCTTTCACAGGATACAAGAATTCATCCTTCTCTTGGTATCCTAAAACTGACTTCCTCCAACCTAGCCCTGTCCAGATATTTGGCTTACAAGTTCCACTAGTGCCTGCTGAGTAACAAATGATCAAAGTTCTGGAGGGGATCAAGTTGGATCAAGTCATTTTAATGCCTATGATATGAACCTGGCCAATTGACAAAGTTGGCTTGGCTTTATTTCAGAATCGGAAATGCCAAAGCAACAACAAATGTTTATTCTCTCTTATCTTTCCATTTGATTCTTTCCCTTTCTGCCTGGAACATTTTTTAAATGGCATTTTATTAAAAATTGTTGTTAATACATTTACTGAACTGTTAATTTTTGCTTTTTTTCCCCTTTTACTCCTAAAATCGTCCCCTTTATACTGCATAATACTCATTTCCCTTATAAAGCCTTGTTCCTAAGGGGTAAGAATGGCAGGCTTATTCTCTTTGATCAATATTAACATTTAAACGAAAGTATCCAAATATTACTGTGCAGTCCACCTTTGAATCCCATTTGTTCTGTAACTTAAATTTATTATGGAAAATAAGCCATCAAAATTTTGGTTCGGATGACTGGATGACATTGTGAAGGTCTACAATCAGCATCTAACAAGGGCGATTTTATTTTCCAAGAACTGATTATTGAAATACAACAATTTTTTTCTTATCCATTAAAATTCTAGCCACAGAGAAGGAGTAATGAGAAAGAAAGGGTCATTTATACAGGTGAAACTCGAAAAAATAGAATATCGTGCAAAAGTTCATTTATTTCAGTAATGCAACTTAAAAGGTGAAACTAATATATGAGATAGACTCATTACATGCAAAGCAAGATAGTTCAAGCTGTGATTTGTCATAATTGTGATGATGATGGCTTACAGCTCATGAAAACCCCAAATCCACAATCTCAGAAAATTAGAATATTACATGCAATCAATAAAACAAGGTTGTACATAGAACAATATCGGACCTCTGAAAAGTATAAGCATGCATATGTACTCAGTACTTGGTTTGGGCCCCTTTTGCAGCAATTACTGCCTTAATGCGGCGTGGCAGCCTGTGGCACTGCTGAGGCGTTATGAAAACCAGGATGCTTCAATAGTGGCCTTCAGCTCTTCTGCATAGTTCAGTCTCATGTCTCTCATCTTTCTCTTGGCAATGCCCCATAGATTCTCTATGGGGTTCAGGTCAGGCGAGTTTGCTGGCCAATCAAGCACAGTAATCCCATGGTCATTGAACCAGGTTTTGGTGCTTTTGGCAGTGTGGGCAGCTGCCAAATCCTGCTGGAAAATGAAGTCAGCATCCCCATACTGTGGAAGGAAGCATGAAGTGCTCCAAAATCTCCTGGTAGATGGCTGCGTTGACCCTGGACTTAATGAAGCACAGTGGACCAACACCAGCAGATGACATGGCTCCCCAATTCAACACAGACTGTGGAAACTTCACACTGGACTTCAAGCATCTTGCAGTGTGTGCCTCTCCATTCTTCCTCCAGACTCTGGGTCCTTGGTTTCCAAATGAGATGCAACAGTTGCTCTCTTTGGACCACTGAGCAACAGACCAGTTCTGTTTTTCTTTAGCCCAGGTAAGACGCTTCTGACGTTGTTTGTTGTTCAGGAGCGGCTTGACAAGAGGAACACGACATTTGAAGCCCATGTCCAAGATCCGTCTGTGTGTGGTGGCTCTTGATGCACTGACTCCAGCCTCAGTCCACTCCTTGTTAAAGTCCCCAACACTTTTGAATGGCCTTTTCCTGACAATCCTCTCCAGGCTGCGGTCATCCCTGCTGCTTGTGCATCTTTTTCTTCCACACTTTTCCCTTCCACATAACTTTCTATTAATGTGCTTTGAAACAGCACTTTGGGAACATCCAACTTCTTTTGCAATTACCTTTTGAGGCTTTCCCTCCTTATGGAGGGTGTCAATGATGGTTTTCTGCACAACTGATTGTGATTCCTACTAAACCAGACTGAGAGACCATTTAAAGGCCCAGGAACCCTTTGCAGGTGTTATGGCTTAATTAGCTGATTAGAATGGGACACTTTGAGCCTAGAATA